ACAATTGATAGGGCCATCCCAGTGTGTGCCAGGTTAATATAAACTCTATTACTTTTAATGTAGCTAGTAATATATAACTTAATATATAGCAATGTATAACTAGGTGCCAGGCCCTGCGCTGAGGGTTTTACATAATTGTCTCACTCTTAATGAGGTGCAGGTCTTGTTTTTACAGGTGGAGGCTTGGAATTAGCTAGGAAATTTTCTAAGGTCGAACAGCTAATCAGTAGCAGAACTGAGATTTGAGCCACACAGTCAGACTTGAGTGTTTGTTTAATCATGGGCTTTAATCACCTGCTTGCAGAGTGGCCTATGGGTTCTTGACTTGGAAGAGATACCTGATTGATTTTATCCATTAATAGTCCTGTGGCTTAATCTCATTGTTGAGATTGTAGTCCAGTGAGAAGACAGACAAACTCCTGCATTCATCCAGGCATACAGTTAACAAATAAGTGAATCTCTATAGAGTCTTTTTATTTCAGGTGGTGAGAGGTGCAAGGAAGAAAAATAAAGGAAAAAAATTAAGGGATTCGAGAGTGCTTAAGAGGGGCAACTCTTGGGTACAAGGTGGTCAGGAAAAACCAAACTGAGGAGAAAACACTTGAGCAGAGAACTGAAAGGGTAAGGGAGTGATAATGTTTACAGGATATCTATATAAGATATAACTACTAAATATCCATGAAAATAAATATTGTATGAAAATCATAGATGCAGTTCCATTTTCCACAAAAACAGCAATTTAGACATTTAAAATAAGTTGTTATTGCTATCATAAAGGGCTTCAAGGGAAAAAGAAACCCTTACTGACAAGGATATAGTTTCTTTGCTTTAGATTTCAGGTCAGTCTTTGGGGAAACTAAAGGCTGTCTGAATTGAAAGTGGGATGTTTGCTCTTTAAGGGGAGTTCCAATTGTTAACTAAAAATTCATTAATGCTCTACATGCTGGCACTGTCAATTACTGATAACTGGGTATATGTCAGTTTCCTCTGGTGAAGATGAAACAGAGAAGAGAAACAAACTAAACCAGAAACATTTTCATAGAGCTTTAAAAGCTATGAAAATAATTGGTAATTTTTTCTCAGAACAATTGAAACCTAATTCACTCTGTCAAAGTAGTTTTTGTGGCAAAGTAGCCACAAAAGATAATTCAAAAATTCTAAACCAGTTGAGCCTTCCAGACTTGAAGTAGATTAGAATAGTTCAGCATGGTTTGTTTGTGGCCTTTTTTTCCAGGACAACCATTTAAAATTTAAAATTTCAGCCACCTGCAATATTAGATTCTTAACGAGCCAGGGGTTAGGTGTTTACAAGGTTATGTAGAGCTCTTCTCTTGTGATGTGGAAACATATATGGCTTTGTGTAAGAGTGCTGGCTTTACTGCTTATTATGATCTTGTGCTTAATTAAGAAAAAGTAATTTTTTATTGTGAAATAGTTTCAGACTTACAGAAAAGTTATAAAAATAATACATAGAATTCCCAAATACCCTTTAGCCAGATTCCCAAATGTTGACTATCATTGCTTTAGTCTTCTTTCTCCCTCCTTCGCCTGTGTGTGTGTGTGTGTGTGTGCGCATGCATTTTTAAAAACTTTTTTTCCTGAAACACTTGAGAGTAAGTTATAGACTTGATGCCCCTTTACCTTTAAATATTACAGCCTTTTTCCTATAAGGACATTTTCTTACATAACCACAGTACAGTGGTTAAAACCAGGAAGTTAGCATTGATACTGTACTGTTGAATCTATTCTGTATTGGACTGTGTTCCAATTTGCCAATTGATCCACTAATTTTATTTTTATTTTACTTTTAAGAAAAATGTCTAATGGTTCATTTTTGCTTGATTGTAGCCTCCATCATCGTGAAAACACTGCCCTGAGCCATTTCCTACAACCTCTAAGGAAGCTGCCTCTCAGAGCATTTTCTAAAAGTAAGTAGCAATTAGAGGTGGTCTTGGCCTCTCTGTGCTTTGGTTTGCTCATCAGTTAATTAGGATAAACAAGCATCTATTCCATAGAGTTGTTGTTAGAATTAAATGGAATTGTACCTGTGAAATGCTTGCAGTGCCTGGCATATAGTCATCGCTGAAGCATTAGCTATTTTTATCTCATTGTTTTACTGGCTACCTCGTAGTCTGTGTGTGACTGTACCATTTAGTGTTGGGCATTTGTTTCTGGTCTTTTTCTACTCTAGGTGATTCTGTAGTAACATATCTTTGCGCATCTTCAGGATAGATTTGTAAAAGAATTGCAGAATCAAAAGGTTTATGCATTTTGTAGTTTGGTATTTATACCACAGGGTTATCCCAATATACCCTCATACGAGCAGGAAGTGCTCATGAGTACATCAGTTCTCCACACTCACACTGTGGATTATGAATTTTTTTGATCTTCAAAGCAGCTAGTTGAACCTTTTCAAAAATGTGTATTGTCTTTATTATCTAAATACCCTTTTTATTTATCATACCAAAAGCTATTTTTAACTGTCCTATAAGAGTAGGTTGGGAATAGAATGAGATGGTTAATGAGAACATTAGCAAAAGGCTTATTGTAGTTAATAGGAGCAAACCTGGGTGTTACTTAATTAGGACTTGCCTGCTGAGCACATAAGAATCACATGAAAGATGGAGGTGGGGAACCTCAGAAATTAAGCTGTAATCTTGGAACTGCAGAAAAGCTGTGCTTTTATGAATTGACAAACCCAGTGCAGCAGTGGTGAGGAGTAGAGGGCGCCCTCTACTTACTACTTCCTTTTGAAGAGTAAAGTAAGCCTTTGAGAAGGCAAGAGAAAGACACCTGTAGTTGAAGGAAAAGCCAGCACACCAGGCAGCACTCAGTCGAGGGGGCCTGGTCAGTCCGGGACGGGGGCTCAGTGCCGGGAGGGTACAGCGGTGCTCTCATCACCAAGTGCTTCAGAAAGAGAAAACACATTTTCTTGCTTTTTGACAAACTTTCTTGGTTGTCAGAGGTAGGATATTTAGTTATTAAGTAATGAGGGTCCATTAGGAATAATTAGAAGATGGGAGAGGTTAATGACATCCTCACTTGCTCATTAGAAAAAAGGAACAGCACCAGCTAAAGCATGGCTGGACAGTGATGCCGGGAGCAGGCGACTGCCTTCCTTTAGAAGTCAGGGGCAGTATGTAGGGTGTGCTCTTTGGTTTTGCACAGGCTACTGAGAAGTCGGCTCTTGAGATATTTTAATAACAGTTTTATTGAGCAATAATTTACATACCATAAAATTCACCCTTTTAACTATGCATTTCAGTGGTTTTTACTATATTTACGGAGTTATGCAACTGTCCTACTGTCTACTTTTAGAATATTTGCCTTTCCTCCTCGCCCCTCATGAAAAACACTTGACCCATTAAACTGTCACTCCCCATTTCTCCCTACCCCTAGTCCCAGGCAACCACTAATCCACTTTATATCTCTATGGTATGTTTCCTATACTGGAGACTTCATATAAATGGAATCACACAATATACAGCTCTTTGTGGCTGGCTGCTTTTACATAATGTTTTCAGGGTCCATGATGTAGTATGTGTCAATATTTCATTCCTTTTTATAATAAAATAATGTTCCACTGTATGGATATACCACACTTTGTTTATCCAGTCTCAGTTGGTGGACATTTGGAGTGTTTCCATTTTTTGTCTGTTATGAATAATGCTTCTATTGAACATTCTTTTACAAGATTTTTTGTAGATGTATGTTTCACTTCTTTAGGTATATACCTAAGAGCAGAATTGCTGGGTTATATGGTAATTTAATGTTTAACATTTTGAGGAACTGACAAACTGATTTTCAAAGTGGCTGCCTCATTTTGCAATCCCACCAGCGGTGTAGGATTATTCAAATTTCTCCACATCCTTGCCAACACTTACCTTTTTTATTATAACCATCCTAATGGGTGTCTCACTGTGGTTTTGAGTTGCATTTCCCTGATAACTAGTGATGTTGTATTGATTTGCTAGGGCTGCTGTAACAAAGTATGACACGCCAAGTGGCTTAAACAATAGAAATCTATTCTTTTTCGATTCTGGAGACCTAGAGGTCCGAGATGAGAGTGTCACAGAGTTGCTTCCTCCTGAGGGCTGTGAGGACAATCTGTTCCTTGTCATTTGTCTGGTTTGCTGGCAGTCTTTGGTGTTCCTTGGTTTATAGAAGCATCACCCCAGTCTGTCTGGTTTCATCTTCACAAGGCATTCTCCCTGTGTGCATGTCTGTGTGCAAATTTCCCCTTTTTATAAGGACACCAGTCATTAGATTAGGATTCACTGTGATGATTTTATTTTAACTTAATTACCTGTGTGGAGACCCTATATCCAAGTAAGGTCATATTCTGAGTTACTGGAGGGTCAGGGTTTCAATATATGAATTTTGGGGGCACACAATTCAACCCATAACAGATGTTGAGCATCTTTTCATGTGCTTAGTTGCCATTTGTATATCTTCTTTGTAGATATGTCTCTTCAAACCCTTTGTACATTTTTAAATTGGATTGTCTTTCTTGTTGTTGAACTGTAGGAGCTTATGGGACTTTGCATTTGAGAATAGTAGTGTCCAGTCAGAATTGGACCTGCATTGTTAAAGTAAGATCACAGCGCCCTGGGTGAGAAATGGCACCTGGCTCCCAGTCCTGGACTTGTTGGTGACCAGCTGGGCAACCTTGATTAGTTTCTTGACCTCTTTGTTATTCAGTGTTTTCTTACTTTCTGTGACTGTGGTGGCAATTGAGTTGCATTGTAGTTTCACAGGAAAGATACTCGCCTCTTGCTAATTGATAGAATTTGGATACAGAAGAATCCCAGTAGTGATTCAGGTTGCACCTGCCAGTCAGATCCCTTCAGGGTCCACTGACTTTTAATGGGGGCTTCTAAGATGCATTGTCCTTTCCTGGCCCTCCAGTTGGTGCTGTGTTTGCATGACTCGTTCCTGTCCCTTTTCCCAGGCTCAACATTTTCCTGTTGTTGTTTTTTTGTTGTTACAGATGCCAGAAAAGTCCACACTGCCCCTGCTCGAACCTTGTTCCTGTTGCGCCCCCTGCCCTTACTGTTTGTGACTGGCGGCGGGTACACAGGTTACCGGCAGTATGAGAAGTATAGGGAGCGAGAGCTGGAGAGGCTGGGATTGGAGATTCCACCCAAAGTCGCTGGTCACTGGGAGGTAGGAATAAGATGGAACCACCTTGATTTCTCATCTAGCACAGCTGCCTGTCACTTTTTAAATGCCCAAGTTGAAATGTTTGAAAAAGTGAAATGTGCTTTCTTGGCGCTCCAGTGGGCTTTTGGCCAAATACAGAAGGTATATCTTCAGTGTCATGCCAGGCTTCCCTTCTGTCTCCAGACCTACCTCTGGTTTCCCCAAGGCCTCTGAGTGGAAATTTCCTGCTGTTGAAATCCTCAGAGTTATAGCCTTATATTGGGGCTGGCATCCTGGCTGTTCATGCCCTTCTCAGTCTGAGGATGAGCTGAGATGGTTTGATTTTTGGGGTGTGGATAAGTTCTCACCAGAAACCAGACTGAAATAATCAAATTTCTTTAGCCTGTTGCTCAGAATACTCCCACCACAGTAGGGCCACATGATAGGGTCAGACTTCAATGCTGTTGAACCATGTGTGATGTGTTATGACCTGTCTTACTCATCTCTGCTTCCTGTGGCCCAGGATGATCCCCAACTCAGAGCAGACATTCAGTAAACATTGAAATTGAATATAAATGTGTATGTTTAAAAATTGCCTTCTTTCCAGCCATAATTTAACAAATTAAAAGTATAAAATATTAATAGATCTTGGTAGCCTGGGCAGGAGGGGGGAGGGTGAAAGTAAAGATGTTATGGTATTTGGAATGTTGCATGTGTTTCCTCATAAGCCACTCCATATTTGTGATCCAGCGCAGCTGAACCCAGTGGCCAGGGCATCTGACTCCAGCGTTGCTCCTCAGTAGTTTGTGGAGAGCACCCTCTGGGTCCTTTGTCTTGAGGTTTTATCTCTTTCTCGAAGGTGGGAATCTTAGGGGAGGTCTCAGGGGAGGGTTTCAGCAGAATATTAATCAGTTTTCTAGGTGTATTCCTTTAGGGTCGTGGTCTTCACTGATTGGTCAGTTCCAGGGCAGGGGGTCATCAGTCGTCGCAGCTGGTCCTGGTATCGCCCACCTGGTTTTGCTGCTTTTCTGGGTCTGGAGCTGAAATACAACTGAGGCCTAGATGTTATTTCTAGGGAGGTGACTTTCTGTGTCTGGCTGTAGATTGCTGGGCTAGTTTGTTCAGCTGTCTCAGTTTCCCTGTTCTACTTGCCCTGGCTGACTAGCCTATCTCAGTTTCAGGTCTTACCTTTAAGTCTTGAATCCATTTTGAGTTTATTCTTGTACATGCACCTTATTTTCGTCATCATGTTGAATGCACCCTTTCTAAGGAGCCACTGAGGGGCTCAGCATGAGCCAGAGAAGTCCTGCGGGCTGGTAGGACTGCTAAGAAACATTTGCAAGCACCAGTCTTCCTCAGGGGCCCTGACTGGCCCCCAAGGAATGAGAATTGGCAGAGAGCACCTGCCATCCCTGTCCCACTGCTACCTTGTGCCCTGGTGCTCGGCAGGGAGCTACATTGGGTTGACCTAGAAGGTCCACATGTGTTGGTGGCCAAGAGGCCTGTAGAGCCTCTCAGTGGTGCGAAGTGCTGCTCCCACCCACAGGAGTCCAACCAAGACAGGAGAGCTGCAAAATAAGGACCCAGTGTGGCCGGAAGGGGCTCATTCAGGGTGGGAAAGTAAACTTACTGAAGGGTTTTTGTTTTTCCCAGAAATGATTTGTCAGCTATTGTCTGGAATCTGGAAGGCATTTCCCTCCTGAAACTTAGGTGGTGGAGGTCAGATTAGAAGATGGGGAGGGCTGATCTCAAGGCAAACCTTGGACTTGTTTATGACTTTTCTAAACACCCATTACCTGAGGGGCTTTGAGTGGTCATAATGAACTCTGGGAGATGGTGTGGAGCCACCTGTTGATTATTTTACAGGGGAGAGTGTTGGTGCCGCTGCTCAGCAAATAAGAAGCTGGCCTTTTGACCCACAGACTTGTTTTTCCTCTCTGGCCTAGCGTGGGCTGGGCCTGGTCTGGATATTGGAGGCTTTGGGAAAGTCTGAATGATCTTCCAGTATCTTTCTGCTTCTGGCATTTCATGCTGCTAGGATTCTGTATCAGCATCTTCTTGTGCTTTAACTCCTTTTTATCCCTATTTATGTGGCATTTGCTTGGAGTTTTGAGATGAGAAGGGGTCTGCGGTCTCTCCAGGGCTCAGAGAATGCTGTGACCCCCAGGGCTAGGACTCTGCATAGATCACCCCTGCCTCTCTGCTCCTGCTTTGCATTGTAGGGGTGGAATATCACAAGTCCTTGAGGCAGGACTGCTTCATTAGTTCCCTTCTCCCCACTGTGGCAGCCCAGGTCTATAGGTTGTCATGGAGAAGTTGCTTGGTCTGTGTCCAAATGAGGACAGGTACATGGGCTGTGTCTACACATCCTGGTCCAGCTATACATCTCTTCACAAGCCCTGTAGGCTCTCTCCAGCTGTTCTAAACTTTGTTTTAAAAACCAAGTTCTTAGAGGAAGAAGCTGGGGTTGGGTTTTTGTTCAGTAGCCTGAGCAAGAAGAATGAGCCTCTGAGGCAATCTGGCCAGTGGGTGGCATGCTGCCCTGGGGCATAACCTGCACAGACAGTAACCCGGCTCCTGAATTCTACAGCCTTTCTTTGGTTGAATAGTCTTCCCTGTCAGACCTTCCTTCTGGTAAAATATGTTAAGCTGCTTCATTATATCCGATGTTGACTTGGTGGGCATGCTGGTAGTGTGCTGGCCCCACAGGCTAGGGCCCTGCCATCTAGTGTGGTAGAAAGACAGGGTCTAACACTATACTGTACAGCCGAAACTAATATAAAATAATATTGAATGTTAACTGTAATAAAAAAATAAATTTTTAAAAGTCACAGTATCACCCCACATGTTCTTCATCCTGAGTGCTCGGCCCAGGGGCGGACCTTGCCCCCAGTCTTGTTTGCTGGTCTACACTGGGGATTTTGTAGGCGCTGGGGGTTGTGTCTGCCTGGAGGACAGGAAGTAGGGGTAGAGGCAGCCTGTGTCTTCAGGATGGGTTGTGGGAAGGAGCAAGGACTTGGATACCTTCTGTTTCACTTTCTCACTTGGAGGGCTAGACAAGTCTGCTCAGTTCAGAAATCAGCCAGCAGCTGAAGGCCAGCCTGCCCAAAGGGGCTGGTGTGGGGAAGGTTGTGGAGGGGGAATCAGGGAGGCAGCCACCCCAGGAGACCAGCCCCTGCAGAGGATACACGGCTTCCAACCCAGGGAGTGTCACTGGGGAACCCCCTTGACTGTGAACCTCAGGGTGCTGGCCTCCTCTTCCCCCTTAAAGGGGCCCCTGGGCGGGCAGGCTGGGCTGGGCTGGGCTGGGCTGGGGGGCGGAGCGAAGCTCTGGCAGTCTGGCGGCTGCCCCGTGCCCCCGCCCCGACTGTCTGAGTGGCTAGAGCCCGATCCCCGCCGGCCAACCCAAGGTTTTGGTGGAGGAACGGTGCTTCCTGAATCGGCCTGTGCCCAGAAGCCCCGCGGTCCCGACCACCTGCCGGTGAGTGAGCCGCTCTCCTCTCCTCCCAGACTCCCGGCTGGAAGGCCACTTTCCAACCGGGAAGAGCCATCCAGCCCCCTGTGGTTTGGGGCACATCTTTACAGTTTGGAGCCTGAGGCTTGGGGGCCCAAGGAGCCCAACCCATAGTCTCGACCAAGTTGTGGGCTTCCCCAGCCCCACATAGCAGTCATGGGGCCAGTTGGATGAGCTCACTTCCTCTACATCCGCTAGCATCTCCTAGACTTAGTGACAGGAAAGGAAAGTGCTGGCTGTGCAGCGGGGCTCAGGGGCCCGCCAGCGCCTAGAGCTCGGGGCTGACAAAAGGGCCTGGGGCAGGGTTAGAGGGGGAGGGACGCTGCACTGTTCCTCAGTGGGACCTGGAGGTGTCATTGCTTGTCATCTCCTGCTCACCCCTCTGGTGGTGACATGCTGCCCTTCATTGAGCCTCATTGCCTGCTGGCACCAGAGATTGCCTGAGAGGAAGTTCCTTTCCTTTGGGGGAGTCCTGTTCTCACCTGCACCNCGGCCGCCCCGTGCCCCCGCCCCGACTGTCTGAGTGGCTAGAGCCCGATCCCCGCCGGCCAACCCAAGGTTTTGGTGGAGGAACGGTGCTTCCTGAATCGGCCTGTGCCCAGAAGCCCCGCGGTCCCGACCACCTGCCGGTGAGTGAGCCGCTCTCCTCTCCTCCCAGACTCCCGGCTGGAAGGCCACTTTCCAACCGGGAAGAGCCATCCAGCCCCCTGTGGTTTGGGGCACATCTTTACAGTTTGGAGCCTGAGGCTTGGGGGCCCAAGGAGCCCAACCCATAGTCTCGACCAAGTTGTGGGCTTCCCCAGCCCCACATAGCAGTCATGGGGCCAGTTGGATGAGCTCACTTCCTCTACATCCGCTAGCATCTCCTAGACTTAGTGACAGGAAAGGAAAGTGCTGGCTGTGCAGCGGGGCTCAGGGGCCCGCCAGCGCCTAGAGCTCGGGGCTGACAAAAGGGCCTGGGGCAGGGTTAGAGGGGGAGGGACGCTGCACTGTTCCTCAGTGGGACCTGGAGGTGTCATTGCTTGTCATCTCCTGCTCACCCCTCTGGTGGTGACATGCTGCCCTTCATTGAGCCTCATTGCCTGCTGGCACCAGAGATTGCCTGAGAGGAAGTTCCTTTCCTTTGGGGGAGTCCTGTTCTCACCTGCACCCATCTTTCCCTGGCCTCCCTTATGCAGGCTTGAAAGGCGCGCTTGGGCCCATCTCTTTGCTTCCTCTTCTCTTGCCCAGGGCTTCCCCAAAATGGCTCACCCATTTCCCTAGGGAGATCCATTTCTACGTTCTCTACTTGGGAAGTTTTGTCTGTCTGTAGCACTGAAACACAGGAGGAAGGGTTGGTGGCCTCACCTGGACACAGCTGCCTGGTGGTCGTGCCTCAGGGGAGCTCGGGGAGGAAACGGCTCTGCCCTCCAGGGTGGGAGCACACAGGAAGTCAGGCCGGTACACTCATATAGTGGGCACTGGGGTTTCTGCTGAGGCTTCAAGAGGGGTAACCCTGGCACTCAGTGAG